GTCTTAATGTCCAGACTTTGCTGGTTTAAGGTAAGAATAACTTAAACATCTCCAGAACATTCTCAGGGAAAGTATCATTCATTTTCTCCGTGACTTCCTAGGGCTGCATGTGACCATCACATGGTTCTCTTTTAGATCGTTGGAATGCCAGCAAATGTTTTGTGCTTTCATTGTATATTCGACTGTTAAGGTATATTACAGCCTCTGTGTTAATCCTGTCAGCCTGTGTCACCTGTGGCCAAGCAAACCTTCATAAAGTATGTCACAACCCCATCAACCAAAACTGCTTTTGTTTTGCTTTTGTCTGTCACTACAGCCCATCACTTTCTTAACCAGGACAGAGGGTACAGCCAAAAAACTTGTCACCAAATTTATTACCAGACCTTCACCTGGAAAGATGCTAATGCCACGTCTGAGTGTTTACCTAACTCTCCCTCCCTCCCTCCCTCTCTCTCTCTTTGCAATTATTCTTCTTCCTACTCTACACTATTCTTTCACTGCTTCCTAAGGTTAGCATTAGGGATCAGTGCTGCAGGGCAGTGACTCATGATTCACAGCTTCAGGAGGGCCTATTTGCACTGAGCAGGTGCAGCTAGTGGGAGGTCTGAGGTTCAGTTGTATGAACAGGAGCCTGCCTCCTCCTCCCAATCCCACAGCATTAGACATAGGAGCCACAGGCCGCTCCCATCCTGAGCAAAGGCAAGTGGGTGTTGCCTGCGGGCCTTTGCCACTTGGTCACCTGCCATCTCACTTTGGAATATGCAGTGGTAAAGATGGGCTCTGCCATACCTACACTCAGAGAGTGCAGGAGAATTCCATAGGTGGCGGTGGGCATTTTCCTTTTCCTTTTCCTGTGGGCTCTGCTTCTGCTCACACTCCAGCTCACCCTGAGCAGAGCTGCTGGACCAGTTCCTCCATATGATGCCACCCAAAGAGAGGGTAAATAAACAGGCAGAGCTTCCTAGAGGAAGCATGCAGGTGAGTGATCAGAAGCTGTGCTCCTCTTTGCAGCCGTCACATGACCAAACCCTTTTTGGCATGCTTCTAAAGAGAGATGGCCAAGTGACCCGACAGGACTATCAACCGCTCCTGAGTGGCTTCTGCCCCTCCCTTGCTTGCCTGTGCCCTTCCTGTGGGCAGCACAGCTAGGACCTTCAGGTCCAAACCCTACCACTGTGCCACCCACCACAGGGGAGCACAAACAAGCTAGAGAAGCCACTGCCACATCCTTTCGCCAATTTACCCTGGGTCAGCACAGTAGGCATAACTGGTTAGTCATCAGTGGAAGACCCCTTGTTGGACTGCAGGCCCCCCAAATCACCTCTGCACTGCCTTTAATTTAAAAAAAAATCTCCTTCCTCACGTTCATTGAAGGTGGTAGCTGATACTGCTACCACCCTTTCCCAGCATAACAGCTTCCTTCTTTAAACAGGTGTGTGCTTGTGCAAAACCTGGAAAAGGAAAGGTTTGATGGAGTCACAGGGGGATCAAGGCACATTAGAAAGGAAAAATGAAATTTGCTAATGGAGAATGCTTACCTCGATATATTTAATTGAAGAAGACCCCTTCCCTCCATAAGAGAGGGAGCCTTTTGTGCAAGGGGGTTGTCAGCCATGAGCGCACTTATTTATTAGACTTGTTTAAAGCTGCCTGTTAGCATCATGTTCTGCCAATCATTAAGCTGGAAAAGAGGCAGAAAAAGGGAGAGGAGTGTGTGCCTGTGTGTGTTTGTATTCCCTCACTCTTTCTCTGTTTACTTTGAGGAACCTGCCCAGCACAGCACAATTCCAGTATATAAACTTCTTTAAATAGAGAGGTAGATAATTCATTATTATTCTTTCTCTCCTCCACATTCCTTTCCTATAAATTTGAACTCTCCACTAATTACTTTCTCTGTGTTGTTCCATATTCTGGAGAATTTGTGAGTCTGAGGGAGGAGGTAGTGTTTGATGGGAGTATGTAGATAAGAAGTTTTGTTGAATTCAGTGGGACTCACTCCCATTTAAGTATGCATGGAACTGAAGCCTTAAGGGAACACATGTGTCTCTGTATAAATGCCTTGTTGTGAGTCTGTCTCTGGGTGTGAATTCCTCAAGCTTAATATGTACATGAATGCTTTGAGGTTTGTGTGTGCTGCATTCTCTATCTCCATCTTACACATGTGGCACCCATGATTCTAAGGCAGGTTATTGCTTCCTTCTTTGCGCAATGTGGCTTGTTGCAAGAAAAAATGTGGCTTCAAAGGAACACTTTTTGTGTGAAGTATTACTACTATTGTTGTTACAACATGCGTAACAATACAGTTTTAACATTCTGAGAATTTGAAGCTGTGTCTATGGGTTACATCAGCAGAGCAAGTAGTACACAGTTCTTATTCCCAGTTGCTGGGAGGCAGAATAGAGCATGACATCATGGAAGTATTGCTATCTAGTGAACCAGTGTTTTGTTTTTAGGGAAATGCAGTGGAGGTAGGTTGGGGTAGGACTGTAAAGTATTTGATTAAAAAATGTCTTCATTAAATTTCTTTCTGCCCTCACTGGTGTCTCACAGACCTATACCCCATATATACTGTATAAGAACCTTAACATATTCATAGTGCTCCATGCGTCTGATGAAGTGGGCTATAGTAGACAATAGTTTATACCATTATAAGTGTTTTTAAGGTGCCGCAAGAGTATTTTTAATTTTCCTTGAGTTGACTTCATGTAGAAGATGGATGCAAATGGATAGGGCATAAGAGAAGCATGCAGATGTTTTACAAAGGTTGCATGCTTAGTATGAGTTAGAAGAGCTGGTGTTCAAGTGCTCTCTTTGGGGCCCATATAAGCTAAAAATCCAAGAGGAGTACAGGATGCTTCTTGTCTCTAGTGAATGTGTATATAAATGTGCATGCTATAAAATAATGCACAGATGGCCATTTTACATGCTAGGGAGGTTTACTGTAAACATAGCGAAAGACAAATATGTATTTCTAGTGCAAAATTATTTGCTTCATGCTATCGCATTTATGTTTTACCTTTCTTCCCCATTTTTACTCCTACAACAATCCTGTGTGGGAGGTAGGCTGAGAGGTAGTGATTGACCAGAACATGCTATGAGAAATGGGAGGCAACTGCTAATTCTTCTCAGGTAGGAACATGTCCTGGACCAGTATTAGCTGTGTGTCTGTCCTGTTTGGCTCTACCATCTGAATCAGTGAGTCAGTCTGTGTGTCTAGTTTGAGTACGTTTGTGCATATATGAAGGTGGGAACCAATGTGTGTTCATGCTTTGTGTGTCTGTGTCCTGTATTCTGGAAAAGGAGAAGCTTGTGTTTGAGTTTCTACTAGTTTAGAAGTCTGGTAGTCTTTACAAGTCTTTTCCTTTTGCACTGTGTGAACATTGTTGTCTGTCTGTGTGTATTGTGTTAAGGTTCAGTACTGGAGAAAGAGTAGGCGTCTCAATGCAGATAGCTACACCAGAGACAATCATGGCCTTGACCTGGCCCTGACTGTACAGTTTTGAGGATATCAGCAATGGCAACGGCAGGTGGTGGTGGTCATGATTACAGGGTGGTGGTGTGACATCTTTCCCCCACCATTGTTCACTCTTGTTCCCTGAGGAAAGGAAATCATTTCTTCGGGAAGAGAATGCAACTTAAAAGTACTGCTGTTGTGCAGCTGTGTGATTTTCCACTCCCCTCCTTGCATGCACAATCATAAAGTTCATGTCCTCACAGGTCTTCTTCCCATGAGATGGGTTGCTGACTGTTGGGAAGGTAAAGACTGTTCTGCCTCCTCTGACCACTTGGCTCCACTTCCGCTGACCTGCCCTTTGTGCACACACCAAAAACAACATCAGACTGGCCACCAAACACTAGGCAAGGGCTGATCACATCTGATCACCAGTTCACCTCTGCACTGGGGGAGAACAGGACCTAGCAGGGCTGCCCAGAACAAAGTTGCCACCACCTCTGCTTGTTTCCCCTCTGAGCAGTGCAGTAAGGAAGTATGCTGGTGGGCCAGCAAAGGGGAAGCGGCTGGATACAGTACTCGATCCAGACATCAGCAGCTGCCTCCATCCAGTGACACACTAGGCATGGTGCATCTCGATCATTTTAAACTCTGCCCCCCCCATATACATTGTGCATTACTTCACTTTCTTCAAAAGACAAGCCTGCCCAGCTGTGCTGAGCTTTTAGGGCACTCTTGCCCACTCCACGGAGAGGGCATCTGTCCCCAAATCCAGTCTAAATATACTTCTGCCCTCTGGCCAGTTGAACGCTCTGAAGTGACATCTCTGCCTGGCCAGCATCGCAGGCCCCAGTTCCCCCTCTGCACCCCCCCTCGAGAAAGGAGGAGGAGGAGGGAACGCTCGATCAGCCATCCCTGCCCCCTTGCTTCTGAGCAGCGAGGTAGCATTATGCTGGCTGAGGTCCCCTGGAACAACGCACATCGCCGAGGCCCGATCACCTGGCACTGGCCCCGCCACTCTCCCAGCCTGAAACACGTGACAGCCTGCCCCGGGTCGTCCCAGAGCCCATCCTCACCCCGTGCCTGCCTCCGCCTGGCCGGGGGGGTGTCAGATCTTCTTCCTCCTCCTCTTCCTCTTCAGCCTTCCTCCCACCCTCTGCCACACCCCGGCGCCGACCGCCGCTCAGATCCTCGCTATCCTCCCTCGCCTGCACCGCCGACGACGCCGCCGCTCCGCAAGGCCGCCCCCCCATGCCTCGCTCCCGCCCCCCTCCGCCAGCCTCCCTTTCCCTTTAAACTCGCGCCTCGGCCCCCACTCTCCCTCCCTGCCTGCCTCCCTGCGCCGCCGCCGCCGCCGGCACGCGGCCTCTCTCCCCTACGGCCGCGCGTGCCCGCGCGGAGGCGCGCTCCTGCTCGCGCTCGCGGCGGCTCGGCGACTTTCCGCCTCTCCGTCATTCTGCGAGCCCAAGCGCGCCGCCGCCGCCGCCCGTCTCGCTCCTCTTCCCCCCACCCCGAACTCTTGGCTTAATTGGCCCGGTCGGGCGCGCGCGCTCGCGCGGCGGGTTTACTTTTCTTCAGGCGGTGGCAGCGGCGGCGGCGGCGGCAGCTGGAGAAGTGGCCGTCGAGGGCGGGTGGACGAGCGGCGGGCGCGCATGTCTCAGTGACCGGTGCGAAGAGGAACTCCCCACCCCTCGTCCCCTTCTGGGCGCCCCCCACCCCTCACCCCCGGATCAGGAGTGACACGCCGCCTCCCGAAGCTGGAGAGCCAGAGACCCGCGCCCGCCCTTCCTCCCGCAGGTAAAAGCGCCCTCTTCCCTCCCCGCCCTCCTCCCCCTCCCCCCCCTCCCCGCTCCTGAAAGTGTCCCCCCCCGCAAGCCAGGCGCTTCCCCCGCGACCAAGCCCTGGCCCCGCCTATCACGGCGAGCTGGGCTAGCCAGCCTCCCCCCTTCCCGCACCACGATGCTTTATTGCCCACGAGGCAGGGCACCCTCCTGCAACTCACTTGTTTGTTTGTGTTTCAACCATCATGCCTCCCAGTTAATCCTTTCTGCATACCTTCTATTTGGTCAGGGTTTCAGGGCTGACTAAATAGTTCCCTTCTCGCCCCCCCCCCTTTCTATCCTTCTGCCCAATCCTTATGACAGATTTCTCCCCCCCCCCTCCGCAGCTCATTTCTTTCTCTCACCCCCCCCCCTCTTAACCCTTCGGTCTCTCCCACAAACACCATCCATTCCTCAACACCACTGTGCTGTGTCCCTCTCTCAGCACTGGCTGACTGCTCCTACTACTCAGCTCCACCATGTCAATGGCCTTTCATCACTTTTCTGCAGTCATAGTTAGGGAAGGGAAAAGGTGGATCTTGTTCCCCGTCCTCTCTCCGCGTGCTCAAGTGTGGGTTTTGCTCCACATTAGTGATGGTGTGCTTGGTTAATACTAAGTGCAAAGGTATGCAAGGCACCTGCACCAAATTGTGCCTGTTCTTTGGATGCCACCAGTTCCCTATAATTGGCTCTCTCCTCCTGTCCACCCCCATATTAAATAGTGGTGCTGAGGCCTGTTAAACAACACCCTCCTGTAAAATAATTTTTGCTGTGGTATTTCGACACTCCCCAGCAATAGCTTCCTTATCTCCAAAAGATGTTCCCTATAACAGAAGGGTCATGACAATAACCAGTAAACTGTGATCCCTTTGATTGCCATGTTGTCACTGGGCAAAGCTCTGCGGTAGGCAACTCTGAAATATAATGCTGCTTCTCAAAGTTCTTAATCCTTTAAATCAACTCATTGTCCTTTCAGTCACTCTTAGCCTGTTAGCCTCCAACTCCTCAAACTGACCCTCTCTATATATATACACACACACACACACACACACACACCCCGACCCACCCCTTATCCTCATTTCCAACATGAACTGCTTATCCAAAGTGTTGCCCTCCAAAATAGTGGCATTTCACAGAAAAAGTACCAGTGCCTCAATCTAGTCTAGCAAGCTCTCTTCCAAATGTAGCTAATACTTCCTTAGAAATAGATACTTAGAAAAAAGTCTGAGTTCATTGCAGTAAGTTAGTATTAGGTTGCAGCCTGAGGATGGCTTCAGACAGGACAAGTTTTCTATGTGACTAACATTTCCACAAAAGCACATGATTGCATGTGTGCTGTCTTGTGTGATAGATTGTTTTGCCACATGGGACTTCTGTATCATGCTCAAGTGGGTTAACAGATTCATGTTCACTGGTAGAGCACATGCTTGGTGTGCAAAAGGTTGTACGTTCAATCTCTGGCATTTCCAGCTTGACTTGGAAAATTCCTGCCTGAAACCTGGACAGCTGCTGTTAGTTTCATCAATATTGGGCTGGATGGCCCAGTGGTCTGATTCTGTATATGTTCTATGTTCCTTGGCATTTTCTGTTGTTGCAAGTATATATTGAGATATATGCAGCTTCTTACAAAGGAGTGATATAAAGGCGGGTGGGTGGAACTCTCTTGATTCCCCATGTGTGAGAGAATCCTCTAACCCCGTGGTACTCAAGCTGTGCTCTTCAGAGGCCAGGGGTGCCATGAGAATCATCCAGCAGTTCAGCATGGCAGTTTACTCTTACGATTATGGTGAAATTGTAAGATTTCAATGTGGCAAAAAACAAGCGTATCTAAGTTATTAAAATGACGTATAATTTTTCATAGTATTTGTTAGGGATGTTATACTAAAATTTAGTATGTACACAGGAAATTTAGTAGTTACCAAGTAATAAATAGGTTCATTAATGCATTATAAATATGCATGGTATGAAATATATTATTGCACTGTTAACTTTAACATTTTGTTCAAATAAAATGTATTGCACAAAATGTATTTATTAATGCTTTCCATGCTGATTTTTAACATTGAGAAGGATTCCTTGGGCATTTCCAGTTTAAAGACCGCTGCTCTAGCCCATATCACATGTTGCCACCATGCATAGCTGCTGAATCCTCCATCACATCCCAGTCATTCCTATCTTGCCATTGTCTGCAGTTCTCTTGATGTACTACTTTTCAGCATTGCCATTCCAGTAACTTCTTCATTGTACTATACCAATGAGTCAGTCAGCCAAACTTATTTATCGCTTCCTTTATTAAAGAAAGAAAACCTATCCCCTTGAGCTTTTTCTGTAATAAATGTTATTCTCCGTATCTCTGTTGGTTATCTTTCCTTTTTTAGTGTTTAAAAAGCCTTTTTATAATATCCGCTGTATTCTATCATGCCACTACACATTGAGCAGAACCAATGTATAGTGACAACACTACTACACCAATTAAATCTGTTTATGAATCCAGCTCTTCCAACAATACCCTGCTACTGCTCTTTCACTGTTCCATTAGCATTTACCCTCTTTGTTCTAATACTTGTTAGATGTCTCTAATCACCTCTTTCTCCATGTGCATAAAGTAAATTCTTTCAGTTAGGAAGAGGAATACTTTATTGAGCTGTAATGCACCTATTATTGTCCCTTATGATTGCTCTGAGTTCTCAGATAGAGGAAGAGGTTGAACAGCTTCCCCTTCCTTCTCTCTAAACACCCAGAAGATTGGAGCTGTGGGCGAGAGCAAGCAATAGGCTTTTATGTGATAGCATCTTATGACAGGGAATTTTCAGCCCCTAATTCCCCTTTTGGAATGCCCTCAGTATATATTCTAGCCCAGCCTTCTTTTTAAGTTCACTACCTTGCACCTTCCATTCTGTCTCTTTACTACTTTTCTTTCCATTTTATCTTTTACTATGCTCATTTTCTCTTCTTCTTGCCTTTCCAAGGGAAATGCCTGAGAAGTAGAGGATGTCACATTTTAAAAGTGTCCAGTTTAACCTCTTGCCATTTCCAGTATGACATGTGGCTCCCAACTCCCCTCTGGGGAAATAGAAAAGTAGACAACTTGCACATATCAATTCTGTATTTATCAGTTTGGAGCAGCTGTTTCTCCCCCTTACTCCAATCCTAAACCTTGGCCTAGTGGGTTATAAACCAAACACCCTGTTTTCTCTTTCTACCCCTTCCACAAAAACCTCCCTACTCCATGTGTTGATCATTTCACCTTGATCAAATTCTAATGAAAATGAAGTAGAAGTTGTGATTGCTTTTCATGGATCCAATTTAAATATTCAAGTCATCGTAGCTTGTATGAAATTTAAAACTGTTTTAGGAAGACATGATCACTGTCTTCCTTTGCCGCACAGATTCCAGTTGCTTGTTGCTAAGGTTCTGATTATTCTTTCTGGCATGGGGGAGGGCAGAGATGGGAAAGAAGTGAGGTCTTTCAGTTTTGTATTTAAAATTTGTGGAGAGACAGATACTTTGACACTCACATTTGATTATCTTGTGTTCTTGGAAAGACTTTAACCTTTCTGACCCTTGTGCATCCCTATCTGTTTCTCTTAGAAGATACTTAAAAGCTTTTATCTGGATGTGGAATAATTTAATAGAAAAGGTGTTTAGACAGTGTGTTTCTAATATTTTATTGCACTGGGACATCACCTTTAGGTTACTTAATTCTGTGTGGTATTAAGGACAGCAGTAAAGTGTTTTCCTGTAGTGCCCCTCTCTTCTGTTGATTTTTAGATTGTTGCTTTATTTATTTTTCTTTGTTTTGACCACATGTAAAAGGTTGAATTTCATGGGCTAAACATGTTTCTATTTCAGTTAGCTCCAAACACCTTTAAATGGCTGGAAGCTGACTTTTAGTTTATGTTTGCAGGATATAGTATGGAGCAGTGAGTGGGTGTTTTTTTAGAGGGCAGTGGGAGAGGGAGATGAGAAAATAGCCAGACATCTAATGACAGATTTAAACATTTATTTTCTGTTGTAAAAGCTGGCATTACTTGTTAAAGTAATGATATGTTATGGACTGCTGCTGTTATGCATTTATCTGATGAATGGTAACCTGAACTTCTGAAACAAAATATAGTTGTTTTTCAACACAGTAATATTTATAGCACAATTGTAACAGCAAGCACGTGCTTGGAATTCGCTGAAAGTGTTTCTTTTCCCCTGGTAAACCATTCCAAAGTATGCGCATCTTTTGCTGTCATTCCACTTTCAAAATGTGCTATGTAAAAGATCATTAGGTTGTATGAAAGAATATCTAAAATGAGAACAGACTTCTGTAATCTCGCCTCAGATTTTTCATTTTATTTTCTTGAACTGTCACCTGACTAAATCTGAATACATTTGCATATGAAAAAGCGGTAGTTTAAAGGAAAGTAAAACATACTTTGAAGTAACTGTGTTCTTAGATGCATTCTTCTTCTTCAGAGAAGAGGGATGCCTCTTTGTAAATGGTCATCTCTAATCTTTATAACTACTTTTAAAATGATATGAAAATGCACTGCTTGATTAATCAGGGACACCTTTGGATCAAAATACTTCAACCAATTGACTAAACGTGACCCTATTATTTTCTTAATTTGGGGGGGGGGAGGAATTGAGTAAGTAGAGTCCTTTATGCTTTTAACATAAAAATACTAGTTTGTTTCAAGTTACTTTTACAACTTGGTACAAATTTGATTTGAACATCTCCATGTTTTTGACATTTTTACTTTATGGTCCTAAATACCAAACCAATTTTGCTTTCAAACAAGGAAAGGAATGGTCGGGGTAAGATTAGTAATTTAAATAGCTTTAGCTCACTTCTGGAAGGACAAGAAGAGTGTAATGCAGGTATGCATAACATTTTGGCTTCAAAGTCTACTTATGCTGCTGGATGGAAAGCTGGGGGCTGCACAGATCGACTTTGGGGCCAAAATGTTATGCATTCACAGAATACAC